ATAGTCGAAGCCAAGCATCACAGCTACTTTCCCACGTCTTGCTTTACGAGTGACGACCCCATCTGAGGAGAGTTTCAACTTCTCCCGACGTGATCGGGAGAGTTTCTTGGCCAGGCGTCCAATAAAGGGCCTTCGTTGGGCATGCTGGAATCAGAGAATGGCAAACTATAATGGCTTGCATCCTCGACTCATCGACTGCACATTCATGAGGCATCGACAGGTTGCTGTAGGCTCGAGAGCCCTTGCAACTGAAGTGACCGTAGTTGCCCATCCAACTTAGCCAGACACGAAAAGTGTGTTGCAACTCATACATACTTTATCACATGTGTGCATTGTACATACAACATGGACGACAGAGGCCTCGACAAGAAAACATTGTGCACTGGCAACATTCCAGAGATCATCTCAAACACGTGTTGCACATACGGCAGCATCGTCAGCTTCGACGAGAAAGGTTGCTCGATCATGAAGAAGGCCCGTCTAGCTGTCAGCAGCAATACCAACAGGCACACCCGCGCTGCAATCCTTAGATAATTTTTAGTATTTACTACAAATGATCGGAATGAAATGACATGTAGCCCCTAGCTGACCAACTTAACCTCACCTGGGTACTTTCATCCAAGCAACTTGTTTCCCGTGGAAACATGTGGCAACTCTTCATTCCCGAAGGGGCTAGTCTCTGATCGTTTCGCAACTGATGAGTTGATCCATACAAATGACCCACAGGGGACACCGATAGTTGCCAGGGCCAAGGGCTTCAGCTTCAGGATACATCGAACAGCTGAGATAAAACCAATCCTTAGCGGTTGAGGCCAAGAGATTCTTGGCAACATTATAATGTTATCTGCAGCCGGTAATTTGCATCCAAGGAGCGGCGTGCAGATATCATCATCTGGGCGATGCTGCATATCCATGTAGTCACTTGGATGCAAGACCAGCCAAGCTTCAAAAGCATAAAAGAAGTTGAGGCTGCATCCACCCCCATACAAACACATCTATATATCTGCACTCGGCAATAATGCAAATGCAAGCATATGCAGATGAGAAGCCTTCTCATGCCCCGACGACCTGAGTCAGATGTACAGTATGAATAATACACTGGGCAAGACAGATCTAATACTGCTACCGAGGCACAATATGCTCTTTGCATACCTCTCTCCCCAGCAAACATGTCATAGTGCATCAGGTCCTGGGCAGCCGCAGTGGGGCAAACTAGATCCGGATGTATATAGCCTGAATTCAGAAACAAACATGTAAGGTTGTGACCCGAAAGCTCATGGATGGTGGAGAATTCTGGGCCACATAGTCTGCCGTCTGGATCCTTGTCTAGCTAGCAGCATAGGCAAACAGAAGACAACAAATATCAACTGCAACATAGGCTGACCTCATCATGCTCAGCTGAGCTACAGAACTGCTGGTGCCCCCATCATGACAAGGAGGGTGGCTGCCGACACCGACAGCGACAATGGGCTTCTTCGCGCAAACTGATCCATGGTTTGTGCTGAAAGGTTTCTTATGTTGCCAGGGGGCATGATTATGTTGCATGCAACTTAAACTATGCCAGGCAAACCAGACTAGATTCTGGGATTATAAACCCCAAACCCTATTGTAAACCTTAATTAGGGTTTACAATAGGGTTTGGGGTTTATGGGTAAAGACCATACAGACGTGGATAGTGTGATCATGAGCAGGGTATAATGTAAAAAAACCATAAACATATCTTATAAATGTAATCACCAACCCCAATTACGTACATCACTCTCCAGCCCACCAACGGAACACACATGATTGCCATGTTGCATTCAGGCTGCATGCTGTCTGACCTCGCCACTCCTAAATTTATAATAATGCACACAGCAGAGATCAGAGCACTTTTTCGGAATTCTCGTTGGAAAGTCAACAAGATCCGATCCCAATCCGAATTTGGCGTACAGCAAGCGATTTGGAAAAGCTGCCCACAAGAATGCCCAACAGCAAGTATCTACAGCTATTTTTATTACATACAATACAAGGGCTAATCCATCACCCTGCACATCCTGCTGTACACCAGCACATCCAAGGCACACGTGGCGAATCTGTCCTGGCCTAGCTATGCTTCGGTGCGGGAAGAGGCCAGTACGGCTTCATCCAACCCGCCGCTTTCTTCGCAAGCCTGAACCTTGGAACAGACCATGTTATTATCATGATTCATGATTGTGATAATGTTTAAACCAGTCATGTAAATAACCACCTATAATGATTGAGACCATCGCCATCACCATCATTGGGCCATTGCATGTGCACTCATCAGTTGGTACATTGCTGGAGCTAGACTTCGGCTTAAGACACAAAACCTCACCACTAATAAGAGTCGGCCGGTTTATTATGCATTATTATTATGATATGGGTATAGGATATTCTGAGTGAAAACCCATAGTATAACATAATGTTGCAAACATCACCCGCATAGGTATTATATTGCAGCTGGAGCACTTGGCCTGGAGATCACCCAAATTTCCTTTGTTCCAGGAGACATTCACCCCGTCGCTGTTGTTAGCCTCCAGCAGACATGATTAATTTGGGTTTTGGGCTTAGATTTATAATATGGGCTTGGGTAGATACAGCGTATACAGGGGATTGCGGATGCTGGCCTTCAGCTTGTGTTCCGCAGGGCTGTGCAGGTTGATGGCTTCGAGCCGAGCTTTTGGAACCGGTTTCACATAAAAGCAACCAGACAGCCTTAGCTGAAACGACTTCACTTGCATCTCAAACGACTACAGCAGGGATCAACGTACAATCGGATGTGCATCCCAACAGCAGCACCCCGATGGAGGTCGAACCAGCAGCACCCTCCTGCTCCTTCACCTTCGGGGAAGGATTGATCGTGAAGGACCTTGGCCAGCAAGTGGTTCATTAAGCAAGTTCTCGTGATTGGCCACACCGAGCACAAACCTTATGAGCAAAGTCTCGCAATGTCTTTGAAGTCTGTCGGCAGCACCATGGCATTGTCCAATACCCGCAACTGCCGGAGGTCCTTGATAATGGAGTCTTTCTTGGCCTGTCCATGATATATCGACAAAGATCAGATTAATTCCATACACTAGACCTAGAATTTAACCGAAGTACAAGTAGCTAGACACGAATTGTCGCAATATAGTGAGATCGGGATCCCTGCCTCCAGCTGCTGTCTTGACTTGGACATTGGGTTGGTGTCGTCAAACTTCTTGGCCTTCTTCTTTGTCTTTGCGAGCTTCGGGGTCCACCCAGTTGGCTGATGAGGTCGAACCAACATTCCTGCTGGCTCCTGTGCAAGATGCAGAAAAACACCTTTGTAAATAGCATATATTAGCTCTCGTAATTATCAATGAAAATTACGAGAGCTAATATATGCTATTTACAAAGGTGTATTTCTGCATAGCTCTCCTAGGGATTATTGTCATTATCTATATTTTGATATATATATATATATAGACATATACTCAAATCACGACAATCACACATGTGTTCAAAGCAGGAAAATGGTGGGTCACAATCACACATATGTTCAAAGCAGAAACATGGTGGGTCCTCATCAGCCTTGCGCTCATCATCAGCAGCCTCCTCATGTTTTTCCTTCTCCTTCGCTGGGGTCCTTGCCACATCCTGCTCGGCCTTCCTAAGGCCCTTCTTTCTGATTTTTCTCTTCAACTTCTTCTTCGCTCTGCCCCTCCATGCCATTCGACACGGATGGCTCCTGCACAGAATTGCAACTGCTAGAGAGGATTTCATGGTCTTTGACAAAAAATCAGACAATATGTCAACCGCACAGCCTCCCCCGGCGCATCATCTCCCAAGCATGCTTCGAAGTCCAGCCGGCGCTTCGCACCTTTGAGATCTACCTCGTCAGCGGCATCATCCTCCTTCCCACACACTGGTGCATCATGCTCTGCCGCGGCTGCTGCTTGCTTTTTTTTCTTCTTTCCTTTCTTCTTGTTTGCTGCCGTCTGCTTCCCCTGCTGGGCATCTTCATCGTCTTCCTGTCGGAGCTGGTTCTTGATTGCGTACTCTTCGCGATCTAGCTCTTCAGCCTCAGACAAAACATCTTCCTTGTTTTCTTTAACCTCGGGTACCGCTTTGCTCTTTGCTCTTGCTTTGGCTTTGCTCTTGGCCTTAGGCTTGCTTTTGGTGGGCTTCGCCTCCTTTTCCTCCTCCTCCTCTCCTGTTCCATCGTTACCCTCCCGTACATCTTTGCGAAGCTTCCGTTGAGCCTTCACATGTGGTGAGAAATACAGAAATCCAAGCAGCGAAAAAAACACACTTGTGTGCAATTCATGAATGCAAAGTCCCACCTGCAGAAGATTGGCATCCAAGGGGCCTGTCTTCGCTTCGAGATCATGGATCAATCGATCGGCTTCGGCCTGCAAGGCATCTGCTGTCGTCGACCACACTGGCCATGGTATCGCCGTCAGCGGCAGCCTCCCATCATCCTGCAACAAGAAATTTCCGTTCTCTCTGTCCCTGGCTCTCTCTGGCTCTCTATCTCTCTCTCTCTCTCTCTCTCTCTCTCTCTCTCTCTCTCTCTCTCTCTCTCTCTCTCACTCGCACTCTCACTCTCCACAACTGAGCCCACTATTTATCTACCATTATATACATATATATATATATATATGTATATCTCTTACATACATATATATATATATAAACATATCTATATACACATATACATATATACATACATACATATACATGAGACACATATATACCCAGACCAAGAGAATAAGGCGCCTTGTAATTTTCTGGAGATGCATCTATCTCGATCTCCTCACCCTCTTGCGGAAAGA